TTTAATTTTTTTTTTATTATTACTGCATTGGATTTTGCAAACCTCACAAATGTGACTGTGATATCTGTGATATAAATGATTAAGTCCATTAAAAATGCTTAAACAGCTATCTGTCCACTATACTTATTATTGAACGCTATCTCCAGTCACAACTGAGAATGGATTTAGACATATAACAAGATAAAGTCATCTTGTAATTTTTCTATTAAACTATGCTGGGAGAGCCAGCAAGCTCCCCGAAAGAAACAATCCACCATCTGCTTCAGATATAATATTATTTGTATTCCCACTCTTTACACCCCAATCCCATTATTGCTCACTGCAATCTTACCACTGCTACAATAAACAAAAGGATGAAGAAAGATGCATAACTTTGGTGCCCCATAAATAATGGAAATATCCTCAGTTATACGTATTTTTGTGCACATCTGTTCTTTTAGACAAAAAGTATACCCTCACCTTTGAAAACATCAGCTTAAACTTAGAGGGGCATAATTCTGTTCATAAAAGCATAGTTATGAGGGCACTAAAAATGCAACTAGTTGTTGCTGATCTGAGATACGATCAAAGATGAGATGCCCTGTGGGGACTTAGCGAAGCTCCTGGGAAGTTTGAAAAGTCTTCCGAACTTTGAAAACAAAAAAGTAAATCTGAATAAAAGAATTATTTCTGCATATCAGCTGGTGAAATATTTTGTTCAGCATGCTGACTTTAACTTGTCATCATCCACTAGCAAAGAATACCAGTAATATTCATAAGAAGCCAGGAGAAATAATTTCATTGCTCTGCACCCAAGCCCACATCTATCACTGAGGTCTTCTACTGATTTAAATAGGCACTGAGTAATTTTAAAGATCTGATGAATCCAATTAAACAGTAGCAAAGATGGCCTCAGAGGAAAGAAAAATCTCTGCATAATTATTAACACCAACATAGGTGTATACCCTGCCTTCTGTGTGACAGTGACGAAAATGCTCTCCTTGTCAAGAGTGGCAATTTTGGCACATACAAACAGCTGAAGGACTTGTGACCTCTCAAACTTCCAGTCTGATGCACGTTCTGAACACTGCCTCCAGTCTTGTCAGTCTCTTGAATGCTGAGTTTATACATGATTGACTTCTAAATGGTATAAGATTGTCCTTAGTGTTACTTCTATAAGAAGCCTTCCTCATTTTGAAGACTTTTTTTGTTATATGTTACAAAAACACCTGAGTTCTCAGTAGGGAGCCTCCCTGCAGAGACACATCAGATGCGGCTTGCAAAAGTAAAAAACACAATGAAAGCAAAGGGATAAACTACCAAACTTACCAAAAAATATTGCAGTAATTTTTCTCCCTTTGAAAAGTGTTTTGTTTGTGTTCACTTCTGAGAAAGTCATCTACGTTTCTTTAGCTTGGGGGAAAAAAAACCCACTGTACAACCCGCCACCCCTTGTTAAAGCCGGTGCTGTTAAAAGCTCTTTGGGGGTTTGAACATTTTTTTTGGAAAGAGTCCTCCTGGTGTTTGCAGCATTTTACATAAAACACTGTACTTTCATGTCCCCCATGTCCCAGCTTCTTAAAAATTAACTAAGATACCTTCAGATCTTCTGCTCTTTCACTAAAAGAAAAGAACTCCTCTGTCATTAGTTAACTCAGACAGAAAACATACAGACTACTGATATACTGACCCTCCTTTGGTACGGAGTTATCCAGGACTAACAGAATAAGCCGTGACAGAAGATTTGGCTGGCTCAGAGGTAATTTAACAGTGACACGTACTGCAAGGTGAGAAATACAAACAGTAACACAAAATAGAAACTGAAAATAACAGGGGATCTTGAAGGTCAGCCGTCACTCAGGACAGACTAAGTAACAATGACTCAAAGCTAAACTGCACTGTACATTCAAATCATTAAAGTACAAAGGACCAAAAAAAGAAAAAAAAACCAACCCACAAACACAAAAAACTGAGCTAGCAATAAGTGATCATGCTTAATTAGGGAGTAAAATGCATGACAGGAGCAAGGTGACTTTCACGGAAGAAAACATGTTGATGGGAGGCACAAAACCATTGGCACAGAGGAGTTCCAGAGTGACACCACAAGGATATGAGGATTATAAAAACCTACTTGCACTTCCAATGAACTCTGCTCTACGGCCAGGCAGATGCATTAGTCCTTAAGAGGGAAACCATTAAAAAAGTAGGGCAGCAGTTTCATCAGAGAGAAACCCGTTTAAAAAAGCCTTTTTGGGGATGTTTTCATTAAAACTCAGCTCCTTTTGATAGTTCAAGGCAAGATACACATTTCTTTAAAAAAGTTTATCTTCCTCATTCTAAATATGGTAGCAACAAATTGTCCCTACGTTACAAGTCAAGAAAAAAGGTTTTCTTTCAGATCTGTAAGGTCAATCTGTGCTCCCAGCAAAAATGTACCTTCTCTCTGTCTTTCGAAGCAGAAATGTTCCCTTTCTTGGAGCTCCTGGGCTCCAAGGGATGAAGCCCCCTGACAGGTATGTATTCCAAGGAGAGGGATTACATTGCAGAGCCACCATCAGAAATAATTTAGCAGCTGAAGTCATAAACTCAAAATTAATAATGGAAAGTGGCAATTTGGCCAGTTTTCTGCATTGTCCTAATCACACACCCAAATTCTGGGGGCAGACTAAAAATTGCCTTCCTTCGGATCTGTGATAAGCCTAATATTCCTAATATATTATGAATATAGCTAATGTAAGTCCCTAACATTCTGTGCAAAGTTGTTACATAAACCCACTGATGGAGATGTCATCTTCTTGCACCTCAGCGTAAGCCCACCCCCTTATTCCAGAAACCCAGGCAGGTAAAGACTCAACGAGGAGGAAAACACCTGTGAAGGGGATGCACTACCATCTCCTTCATCTACCCCTCCACCACACCTGCTGGGAACTGGATCCAAGGGAATGGCCACGCCACCAGCACGGGGATAATTTTGAAGAGGAAAGGCTACCTGGGGAGGTGGGGGGACACCCTCTCCACTGCTACCTCTGAAACTGTTCTGCTGCTCGGTGCTGCTGCTGGAGCGGGGTGTAACACACAGCGTCAGACTGCACAGCCTGTGGGCACGCAGGCGCTCAGGAAGAGATCATGTTTTCCCTTCCCCGTTTCCCTGGGCCGTTTCTGACTCGATACAGGCAAAACTGGATAAAATACAGGTGTTGGCCTGGGAGTGGGAATGAGCACCAGGTGCCTGCACCTCTTGCACCTGGATATCAGAGGCTTTTTGCACACATCCAGAAAATTTAACATGCTGCGTTAGCCTCAAAATGTGAGTAGTAACTAGAAAATGCAAAAATCTAAATGCTGGTGGGGATAATTCATCACTGCACCACCAGAAGCACTTTCCTTCATATATATTTGGGGAAAATGATTTTACTCTGGGCAAGCTTATCCACCCACAGAATCACAGAATGATAAGGGTTGGAAGAGACCTCTGGAGATCATCTAGTCCAACCCCCCTGCCAGAGCAGGGTCACCTACAGCAGGTTGCACAGGATGGCGTCTATGTGGGTTTTTAATGTCTCCAGAGTCAGAGACTCAGCAGGGCTAGAACTGTGGTTAACTCTTGGCAACATACGATTGCTTTAGTAAAGCAACAATAACATACTCACCCTCGGTGTCAAACCGCTAGTAGGTTAAACCTGGTTATGGGCATGAGATTTCTGTTTTTCAAGCCGCCCTAAGACACAGTCACAACACCCTTTTCTGATGTAAAGGGGTATTACACTGAGATTTCATATCAACAGCAAAGAAAACGCTCAGGTAGATGTCAATCTTCAGCGACAAGCAGTTGAAAGACAACTCAGAACACCAATATAACCAATTAATATCAAAGACTGCACACACAAAATGTTGCTTGCAGACAAAACCGGATTGCAGCAGAGGCGACCACAAAGGGATTTCAATCACACCTCCTGCGCTTCTTCCGCCTCATATCCCAAGGGGAGGTATCACAATCCCCAAACCAGTATGAAGGGCTTGACTTCTGAAGAGGCTCAATACTAAGTCCGTGACATTCAAAAATCCCAGGATCTGGCTAGATGACTTCCCCTGAACCATGCTGCTCCTACTTTTCCCCCATACATCATATAGGCGCCCTCAGTTCCCAGCTGGGCATGATGAGATAGGCCCCAGGTCAGGGCCATTAGGAGGGTGTGCTACTGAATCCACATCTACAATTCAATTTAAGTCTGCCCACCTCACGGCATGGGTATTTTTAAAAGGTAAATAAATTCAGATGTTCTTCATTTCGTGAGCCAAAACTTGAAATAAATATTGGTATTGCTTTTACTACCTTTGATCATTTGCCTTGGAAATAAGATCACTTTTGATTTCTGAGCTGAAAGCTTACAAATGTTTCTAAATAACTTTTTTGTTTCAATAGAAACAGAGTTTAAAATATTCTTTTATAATTTTTAAAGACTGCTTTAAAATGTTGTGTAGAGCCAAAGCACTTAAGTATATTTAAGTTCTGGTTAATAAGTAAAACTATATCAACAGCACTTTTTTCTTCTCTTGGTTTGAATGAGTTGACTAATGTCTACACTGGGAAATGCTGATTATTAACATCATTTTCTAACACAGTTATTGTTTTTAGACACATCCAGCTCCTAATTCTATCACCAAACTCTTCTCATTAACTGTATCTTTAAAAAGTAAGTTTGAGTATAGACGTTAAGTGGAAAGTTTTAATAGCTTGTAGGTATGTATACTTGATATTCTTAGCTGCAGAGAGGGATAGCATCAGTTATAATACTAAAGAAGAACAGGCATAAATCTAGCTGTAAGTAGAGCCATATAAAAGAGTGCATTGAAGTCAATCATTCCTACGAGCCTTGCTTTTTATTTTCTATACAGACTATTTTGCTTTTAAAATAATAGGGTTTAGCTGTTAGTCATTCTAACCATCCAAACTGAAATGTTAGAGTTTGAATACTTGTTGTAAACCTTTCAGGGTGATAAATGAAAGATAATAACCCCTTGATCAATGTAACTTTTTATTTATTCATCTGGGAACATGGCAAGGATATCATAGGCAACAACGCCGCCTAGGAAAACATGGATTTCACATAAACTGTTTTGGCAGAAACACGCATTTAAATAATCATCCAAATCACCACCTCACTATTTCTATCTTAAAAACAAAACAAACAAAAAAAAGGAAACAAAACAAACAAACAAACAAAAAAAAACAACAGAGAAAAAGAAATAATAAGATCTGAACAAACGAACAGCCTAGAATTTTTTTCTATTTAATGTCTATGCCAGCCACGTCTGTCCCTGATTTTAGAAGTTGTAATACTTAGCACTGACAATGGCACCCTTCATTTGCAAACATGTTATAAACATGAACTGACTGTAATTATACCACAATACCTCACCACAGCTAATCAACACGACTGCCTGGTCCTCTGTCAGCCTGGGGAGGTGCTGCATTAAGCTTGTGCTGCCAGCTCCCTGTATGACAGTGTCGACATCCTGCAAAGTGCTACACCTAGAAGTGAGTTTAGCATGAAGTGACTGACCAAACTATAGCATAAAATCAAGCAGGTTTTTCCACTCAGTGCTAATATTTTGTCGTATAATCCAAGAAGGACTGACCAGGGCAGGATGCAATTTAATGTAAACCATTTGGAGTGAAAGGTGTTATTTTGCCTAGTGAAATCTCCCCCTCGCAGTCCAGCTCACAGACAGAGTCAGTGGCAATCTCATGGTCGGGGGAGATCTGGGACATCCTATCAAAAGGGTCCTCGCGGTTTTCCTCACAGTCAACCATATTTGGGATCATGTTAACATAAGCAGTCACTATCTCCTTATGGAAAAGGGTGTCCTGGTTGTAAGAGATAAGCTCGTTGCTTATATTAACAGTCTCCACTGGAGTACTAGAGCAAAACTGACCACATCCCAGGAGGTTGGAGAAGACCTTTCTAAAGTCAGCATTGAAGGCATAGATGATGGGGTTGAGAGAGGAGTTGGCCCAACCAAACCAAACGAAGATATTAAAGGTGGTCTCACTGACGCAAGGAAGGCCAGCGTGGGGGTCACTGGGTGGGCTCTCGCAGAAGGGAACCATGCAGTTCAAGATGAAAAATGGCAACCAGCAGCAGACAAAGACACCCATGATGACGGAGAGAGTCTTCAAAACCTTGGTTTCTTTCCTGATGGAGGACTTGAGGCTTGTGTGATGGTGGCAGTCAACGTGGCTGCTCCGGCAGCTCTGCGCGTGCTCGGCTGCCCTCTCCAGGGAAGAGATCCGACGAATCTGCACCTGGGCAATGCGGTAGATTCGAGTATAGGTAACTATCATGATAGCCACAGGGATATAAAAACTGATCAAGGAGGAGGAAATAGCGTAAGTCCTGTTGAGGCTGGAGTCACAGCTCTCTGACGGTCCAGTGAGGGTATCATTGCCGTCAGAGGTCCCATCAGAAGGTCTCATCGCTGCTAATGCCACCCATGTGGTGCTCATGTCTTCCGCCCAGGTGGTGACAGCACCCGCTGCTGCCCAGTCAGTGCCAAATCCATCCCCCATATCACCAGCAGCAACAACATCCCCACCTTTGTGCCAGTTGAGCTGGACAGGGATGAAGGAGATGAGCACAGACAAAGCCCACGCCACGCCGATCATCACCAGAGCCAACCGTTGGGTCATCTTCCTCTCATAGCGGAAAGGGCTGGAAATAGCCCAGTACCTGTCCACACTAATCACGCACAGGTTCAGGATGGAGGCCGTGGAGCACATGATATCAAAGGCCACCCAGACATTGCAGAAAGCCCCAAAGGGCCAGTACCCGGCCACCTCAGCCACCGCCTTCCAGGGCATGACTAGCAGAGCCACCAGCAGGTCCGAGACAGCCAGGGACACGATGAAGATGTTGGTCACCTTGCTCCTCAGGTGCCGGTAGCGGACGATGGCCGCGCACACCAGCACGTTCCCAAAGAGTGTCCAGAGGATGAGCAGAGCCAGCAGGCTGCCCGCCGCCACCTGTGCCGCCCCGGGGGCGCCCGACGGACCCCGCGCCCCGTCGGGGGACC